GTAATTTTTAAATATTTAATCAAAAGAACATAACACTTTGTTGAATTCTATTACTCTCCTTATTTCTCATTTCTGGTAATTTTTTTAAAATAATTATACCAATTATTACAATTTATCATGTTCCAGATATTTCGTGTTCCAGGATGTTCCGAATGGTCCATTGTCCATGTTCCATGTTCCATGTTCCATGTTCCTGATTTTAATGACGGCCTGGTAACACGTGGAACCCAAGTGAAAATCCACAGTTTGTTTGAATGCATTCAACACTTACGTTCCTCTAGTTTCCTGCTTCGATCCACCCATGGCACCTGTCAAATCACACGGAAAGAAAAAATGCAGCACAGGTTAGAAGAACTTATCGCAAAAGTGTGTACAACGTAAGTATCATTCTGAGACCTATTCGGCTAATTATAACTCAATGTCGTATACCCAATTCAAATCTCCGGGGTTAAGATTCTTTGTGTATTGTATCTGCATTATAATGTGGCATTCACATTGAAATGATATGGAAATTACTGAAACAAAAACGTTTTATTCCCAAAGGGGTGAGTTGGGTACAACATTGAGTTAGCCGAATAGATCTAAATTGTAGTTTTATCTCGTGCTGTAAATGTAACGCAAGTTTTCGGTCTTAATGAAGGAAAATACAAAGGCAGGAGGTACAATATGATACAGAAACAATTTTATTATTGCCCTTTGTCCTTTTTTTCTGACAAAACTGGTTGCGTGTACTTCATGAGTCAATATAACATGACTGCTGACGCGCTCAAAATCCGATGTTGACCCACTGTTCTCAAACTCATTAATAATTCATTAAGAAAATACAAAGGAAATTAATGTTTAATGAGTGTTTGGAAATCGGATGAAAGACTGCTTAGTATTTGCATCCTTAATTACTCCTTCGAAAATGATTTTGTTTGAGAAGAAACACCTCGAAGTTCGTCAAAAAATACTCCGCGCGCGTCCTATTTTCAACTCTCTTCTCGGTGTTTCATCTGGTGATTAAACACTGCATCTCATGTCTGATATATTACATGTGGAATACTGATTGACCCGTTTGAAAAAGATGACGCTGTTCCTTTTGGCGAATTCGTTTGCAGGTATAATTTACCAGATCAGCTATAGCTTTACTTTTATAGAACTGGCTCATGGATCTGCTTACAAACCATGATCAACTTAACTTTTGGGCCTTGAATTCTATGGGAAGCGAATATTGTAAATGGCCTGTGGACCCTGGACCCTGGACCCTGGACCCTGGACTCCTTCTACGAAAAAAAAAAATCCCATCCTAAAGAAATCCTCGGACACCCTCTCCATCCAAAGCAAATGAGGACCCCTAAAAACAAAGAGAAATGAGATAATTAAACAAAGAGGAGAACTGGCCTTTGTAAGGCACATTCAATTTCAGTGGCCAAACCCGGAGAAAGAATATGACCTGGCTGCATGAAAATGTCGCCAGATCACATCAACACCCTCCTGTACCCTCCCGCTAAGGCTCTTTTTGTTTGTTTTTTCATTGACAACAGGTTAAAAAGCATATGCAAGTCGAATTGTGGACTTTGTAAGGTAGAGAAATGCAGGGGTCAGTTTTTTAAAGACTGACAAACATCTTGCAAGGGTCCATCCAGAAATAACAGAGCGCCAGCACAACAACCTTCCTCAAGTCCCTTACAAAGAAGCCTCCCACATGCAATATCGCGTAAAAAGAGCAGTGCGGTCTTTGTGGGAAGACTTTGTTACTTCGGCCACATCTTAAGACCCATAAGATAAAAACGTGGGATGAATACATTTCAAAACTGAAAGAAATTCCTAGGAAGCAAGATCAAGGAAGCCCGTTATTAACGAGAAAGGAGACGCCTTCTGCAGGACTTAATTCACTTCTCAGGCAAATAAGTGCGACGACCACCAGCACAGCCAAGTGTTCAGAATCCACTGCTGACTCACATACTAACGTCGATCAAGAGCAGGAACAAAGTACGACGACCACCAACACTGCGAACTGTTCAACATCCACTGCTGATTCCCATGAAGCAAAAAGCAGGGAACAAGAAGCAGAGAGTGGTTCCCCAGCAGACCCTCTGATTCTAAAGGTGAATTTCACCGAGGAAGAGTATTTGCGCTTTTGTGTACACAATACAAATTCGTATATGGTCCTGGCGACCCACCATGCGATCGTAAATGGGAAAGGTGACCCATCTCTAGTACTTAATCACTTGAGCAAAAACAAGCTGACGATTGATCACTGCAAATATATTGTAGACATGAACCTTATACCAACATTGTATGGTTTTTATAGATTTGCCAGCTATTACCCCTATCCCAAAGGAAAATGTATATCCTGCACTGCTATCTCCTGCGAATGCGGTAAGCTACCAAGGCCATTTTATTTGTTTTGTCGCCGCGCATGCAACACGGTCTTTAATTGTACTAAATGCAAAACCTGGGCAAGTGGGTACCACATATGTGAAGACTTCTTTTGGTGCGAGGTATGCAGCAATGCTGCAAAAAATTGGCTGCTGCAAATGGAATTTTTCCCGTAGAAATCATACATACTACCAATTGTGGGACTACATCGTTAAGCGTGTTCCATATCGAGTTATAATAATGAGTAGTGCCACTTAATTTGGCTTTTTAAAACTGAAGATGAAACTTGCGTTCCGCCGATCTCTATCCATGTTCTGTCCAAGATCCGTTGAACGATGTCCCAAACGACCTCACTTCAATGGGCGCGCGTTCTACAACACCGAACGCAATAAACACTGAAGCAATATTCAAGTCCAGACAATTGGCTTTTATTAAAAATATGAGTATTAGCCACGCACAATATATTTGGCCCACAAAAGGGAATGAATAGGAATGCAAACCTTACCAAGTACCATAGAATTATAACCGCTGTTTACGACCGAGTAAAGCCCAACGGTTATGGAAGTACATAGGATATCAACTATGAAGCAAATAATATCGACCGGCTAAGTATATTAAAATCCTTGTTATTGCATACCACAGCGATTATCATAGCTACAGCTCAACGAAATATATTAGTCAAGCTTTATACTCGCAGGACTATACATGACATAGATTCTAATGTATGCACAGTGCAAAAAGAATAAAGTAGGTTACAGTACGTAAAACGAATAATCTGGGAATATAGTTGCCTCTTTCGTTTTCCACCACTGCAGACGTTTTGCGAAACGTCTGCATTGGTGGGAACGATGTGAGGGGGCTATATTCGCAGGCTACAAAACGAGTAGCAAAATAGCACCCCAACCTGAGTTGATAAGTGATAAACTGTCATGAAAATAAAGTAAACAATATTTTGTCAGTTGCTACATTTAAATTAAAGACAAAAACTGTCATGGCTTGCAACTTCGTTGTTAGAACAATTACTAGACTTTCAAAAAAGCCCTTGGTGGGATTTGGACTTCCTCGCTCGCGGTCGGCAGCTTCGCGGCCAAAAAAGGTGTAGCAAGTCTAAACAATTGCAGTCACCATTATATTAACGCAACTGAAGGGGCTTTTCACATCACGGCGGCTATGTTGGTGTCCCAGCTAATCCTTTTTTATTATATAGATACTGATGAAATACCAGGATTTTTCCTTTTACTAAAAAATCATATCTTCATCGCGCGCAGTGAAGATACTATTTTTATCTTTCACGTGTGACGATGTTGGTGTTGCCATGGTTACTAACATGATAAGCCAATTACAAGCGAGCTTAGCGTTCAGGTTACCTTTATAACTTTATATCCGAGTTTCATAACATTTTCGTGACAGGCATTTTGCGATAGGTGACCACTTTAATTGCACTATTTTGCTGTTTCGAAAATGAATAAAAAAAGTTGTGTTTTGGGTAGGAATTTCATCAGTAACTATAAAATAAACAGAACATTATATGGCCGCTTGGGGATACGAATTTTATCTTCTCGTGCTGAAAGTCTCTCTCACTCGTTTACTTCGCTCACTCGTGAGAGATACTTTCAGCACTCGAAGATAAAATTCGTATCCCCGCGCGGCCATGTAATATCCTCTATATGTAAACACTGTCTTTGGTGTAATGAATTTGCATAGCCACTGCCAACGTGAGTGATAACACTTTATTTGTTCGTGACGGAAACTTATGAGAGTCGCAACAACTGACGAGCTAAGTGTGTGTTAGCGGGGTTCCACTGTAACAATTTAAGATCTCAAAAAACCATATTGTTGCAGAGTGATCCTTATACAATCCTGAAATAAATCTGGAAGTTCAAACTCCGCTGCACTGGAATTGCCATTTAAACACTGCTCATAGTATAAAGGACCATGGTCGGTTTTGACGATCCATTTTACCTTTATCTCATCCTCCTCAGGAAGCATTCGGTACCTTTTACCGTTACCTACACGATCTAGCCAGTAACCCTTTAATTTTGTCGAATCCCTGCCATTAAATACTTTGGAAATGACTTCCTGATGGCAATAAAATAACCAAAAGTCTTCATCTTCAGCTTCGGTATACAAGGGAAAGATGAGGTCTCTAGGAGACCTGCTGCAATCCCTTGTGTTATGGCCGACTGCAGCCCACGCATCCCGATCAAAAAACTTTCTGCAATTTCTATATAAGGTCAGACGTTCTTCTTGATCTAGCACGCAATCCTCCACGTTGATTTCCTCCTCCTTTAGGATCCTTTTCCCAGAAATAACGTCGTTTACGTTAACGTCACTTGCAACCTTCTTGACAATCTTGACCAACAATGGGACATCAGCGGACACAGAGTGTGAAGCAGATGTACTGGCCTGGTGTTGAGATTCTTCGGCTGTGGAGGGCTGCATGACAACAAAGGCAATCGTCTCTGCTGCCTCCATTATGGCCCTACACTGCAGTGCGCCATAGCAGAATGGCTTTTTAAAAATTATACCATCCGGCAGGCCCTGAACTTCAAAGTTCTTCTTTAGATAAGGTACTCGTGAACCCGGCTTGCCAATTGCTTCACCTTTAAATCAAATGCAAAAAGTAGTTTTAGTACGTATTCTACTTAGGTGAACGTTAGTCCTTTCGACCATGGCTTTGTTGTTTTCAGACAGAAAGTCACGAAAGATAAAATTTACCCCTTTATGCCTAAAGTTTATAGCAACTTACTGTATTTCTTGTTAAATAGGGCTTGCACGTGGCGATAGGTGTACCTCTTGGTTTGGGTATCTACAAAAGCACAATAGGGAAGAGTGCACCACATTATAAAATAACTTTTTATTAAAGTGGGCTATGATCGAATTAAATGAGAGCCGAATTTCTAAACATTTGTAGCTTGTCAATCTATTTTCGGCGAATAATTTACTCTGCCAACTTCACTGATCAAAAATAATCCCAAATATGCTAACATCTAACAATAAGCTATTTATTAAAGGAAATATTGATTATAAGGAATCGTTACTTATTTTGGAACATACTTCATTCCCTCAACTCAAATCACATACCACCCCCTTTGCCTCTTTCCTTTCACCTTGGAGCAGACCCTTGTCTTAGGGTATCGCTATGGCTTTCCGCGCGCAAGCTAACGTACTTAGGGGCACTGACAAGCTGCAAATCTCCCCGGCTCAAAGCATATACATCATGACTGCTTGTTTTGACTAAGGAAAAACGTTATAGGACAGCCGAAAGTCAACATAATATAAGTGTATCCTAATCACGGCGTAACAAACTTACAAAAATGCTGCCTAAATTTCGCTAAAATATCCTCATTTGAACTGAGAAAGCCAATTCCTTCCACGGATCCGAGATTAAACACTTCTCCAAATGCATCAATAAACATTAATGCGCTGTTGCATCCAAGTTCTTCTAAAAACATAATCTAAATTAAAAAAAAATGATCAGAAATGACAAAATAGACTACTACTATACTAGTAACAGTAATCACACATATAGTGCGGCCGACATGTAAACTTAGGCTATTACGTAACAGAGGAACAGATAAAACGGGCTGCAACTTCGAATACTCTCGGGTGGATTGCACAGGTCCCCCAACAAATAAGCACGAAATGAGAGTTGTGGTCAATTTGTCGAGCGCAACAAAAGTGAAGTCTAATTATTCAACTATATTTTAATTTCCACCAAGCAAATGTCCATTTTCTTACATAAATACCGCATACTAACTAACTTCGACGGCCGCACTGTAAGTTACGGACCAAGTTTAGCGCGCGGGTCATAACGAGGTGCTCTACCTTCCCATCACACCGTGCGCGACACTGTAGAGGTTCAAGAAAGACGACTGGGGATGAGTCAGTGTGAAAAGATTGTTGATTCTCATTGCCATGATATATCATCAGTTTGAAAACCAATAGAAAAAACTTAAACTTAAATCTTTTTTTTTTTTTCAAACCTCTGCCAATAACTGCCTCCTATGTCTATCGATGAGTTTTTTCTTTTCCTCTTGGGAAAACTCGGCGACATCAGGAAACTTGTAGGCTTTCGATATATCCTCAAATTTTTTTTTCTCTTCCTTTGAAAGGGCTTCCCATCGCGTGGAGGCCAGACGATTTTTCTCCGACATGCTTAGACCTTTACAATCCCCTGAAAAGAGGGTAAAGAGGATAGTACATCGAAACGATGATGAACATAACGAATAGCTATAATAATTACTGGCACCAGCTATAATAATTATTATGCAAGCTGTAAGAGATTTCGAGATATTATTACTTTAGTTCACCTTTTCGAAAAAAAATTCAGCACAAAAAGGTTGTATGGATTTGGGCCCCTCTGCAAGGGCGGCAGTTTGATCTTCTTCGCTGGTTGCTGGTCAGTAGCATCAGTGTGCTGTCTCTGACATCTGCGCTTGTTCCTTTCATTGCCAATCCATTTCTGCAAGTAAAACATTTGTCCTTTACAAAAAGTTTCAACCGAGATAAAATTATTGGCAGAAGAGCAAGAAAATGCTAATTAAAAAAGGCTTTGTATGTCATTAACGTGTATTCTGAGAGCTATTGATTTTATTATATGTCTCAGATAGTACACACGCTGTGATTGGTCAATTTTGTGGGCCGTACTGACCCGCTAAACTTGTCCGATACAGTGCAAAGTCTCCAGAGATATAACAAATATCTTACTAACCTCGTTTTCTCGGTCCGTATTGCAAGTTACGGATCCTCGTTTCCCCCTCCATTTATGACCCAAGCGCGAGTAACTTACAGTATGGACCTCAAACTCGGTTAGTAAAAGGTATAGCGTCATAGAGCATAGAAATGCTTCTCAACAAGAAAGTTCCGACAAATAAAAAAAATTCCCCGAATCGTTTAGCTTCTTTATTTCACCCTTTTGCAGTATTTTTTCTTCACATGAAAGATCAAAGCCAGAGCTTTGTTTTAAGCAAAAAATTCAGAACTGAATGAGCAAGGGTGAGACTAATCTGTGGAGCTGCAGACCGCGGAACCAGCGGAACTTACGGAACCTCCAGAAAAGACTACTTTTTCTGCAGTAATTCGACTCAACTTCGGCCGATTTGAATAATCAGTAGAAGCAGACCCTTTTGGGTGCTTTTAGACTCGAAAGAACGCCGTAGACAGGCAAACGTATTTACGGACCAATCTGCGATTGAGGCATACAAAATACGGAATGACGCCACAACGAGATGCAATTCCCAGGAGCGTCCTGTTCCTTCCTGAGCGGAAGTGGTGGCAAAATGGTGTCTAGACTTCACCGAGAGTTAGAACAGTCGCACACATTATTTCCTGTATAAACAATAAGCTAATAACAGAAAAAAAATTAAGGCCTATTTAAATGGCATATCTCACTAAATAAAATTCAAAAGGAGCAATCATAGGAGATGCATCAATGCCAAACTGGAATTGAGTGAGAAAATTGTCCCCATCCCTTCCTGAGAATTTAAAAAGTGGTTGGAGATCATCCAGCCCTGTCGTTGGGAACGATTTTTGCACTTCCAATCTTGTATCCAGAGTCGACGGTGCTCTTTGGTCAGTGGATGTTTGGGCGACGGGTGGGGTTATCGCTTGGTCCAATCAGGAGCCCATAACCTAAATTAGTAGTTTCATTTTTACCACTTAAAGCATTGTTTATATCCAAAAGCTCTGTGTGACAGTTCTAAGTTTTGGAGAGGTCAGGGAACGATTTTTCACTCACTTTTGGTCTTTGGAGGGTCTTGGGACGCTTTTTTTGATCAACTAACGGTTGATTGTGACACTTGCGTGACACATCCGGTTTCTCGGCGTGATCCCTAGCTTGATGTGTGAAGTCTGTCTATATCATGTATGTAACAATCGCTCATCATTGGTCTACTTGAACATGAACGAGTGTAACGAGTTCGACATCATACATGTATCAATGTAAATCACGCGGGGGGTTGTGGGGTTGGGTAAGGGGCTTTGATTAAAATTTTTGGAATTAAATTTCCCAGTGTGGGAAACTAATGTCAATCAAAAGTGTCAAATAAGCCCCACCATGGGGCAACAATTCTAAAGAGACAATAATGTAATACTATATAAAACAAACACAAAAACCATTTGAAAAGTATGTTCTTGCTACTAAGTTAAACTGAAAATACGACTGCTCATTGTTTGTGCAGTTACAAAAAAGTCGATAAAATTTGAATCACTTTACATTCAGTGTGCTGTTTGTAACTACCATCGAGAACACAACTTTAAATGAACAAGACTTTTGTCAGTTTAAAAGAGACAGTTTGCTTGGGCTGACCAGAACTTTAAAGATAAATCAGTATCAGTCAAACTCAAATGTCCTGACCACTGGGTCGCTTCGCACGATCAAAAGCCAGACAGGGGGATAGTCTCACGCATCAAATGCCCGCCTCTTGCCCGCACTCCACCCCACCCCCGCCCCCAACATGCAGGATTTGCATTAAAATGTACATTAAGAGGATGTTTAGCTTTTCTGTAGGGTTGTCGGAACAACAACAAGGAGCTTTAATTCTGATGAACGTAGTAGTTCTCACACGACTGTAAAACTCTAAACTTGTACTTTAACAAGGCCCTGCCCAGCTGCCAAGTGAACTATTAACTTTCCAGTACTGAAGTCAACACACAGGACCTCTGTCATGCTTGAATGAACACTAACTCACTTCTTCAGCCTGTGAACAACTAGTCATTCCAAACCTCTAGCTCGGAGGCTAATGTACTTCTTACATGAAATTCTAGAACCTTCTAAATAGCTTGATATTAGTAGCATTACAACATTCTTCTATTTACAAAGACTGACAAAAACTGCTAAATCACTCAAAGGAAATATAAACACAAACACTAATTAAATATTAAGGAATCTTCCAGACGTACATGCAAGTTCTAGTCGGTCACGCAATGCATGAAAGCAATTTTCAATGCATAACAACCAGATTGAGGCATCGGCCTATCTACGGTGCTCTTTCGAGTCCAAATGCACCTAAAAGGGTCTGCTTCTACTGATTATTCAAATCGACTGAAGTTGAGGCGAGTTAGTGCAAAAGACGCAGTCATTTCTCTAGTTTCCGCTGGTTTCTGCAGGTTCCACAGTTTAGTCTCACCCCAAAGCTTAATGCAGTCATAAAAAAGCATACCACGCGATCCTCAAAGTATGGTGAGAATACCATGTCCATTCTTAGAAGAACCTTAGTAGAAGTATAGGCGACAACAAAATTGGTAGACGGGTGGGCCGCGAGGAGAGAGTGATGTCTGTCACTCACGATCAAGCAAAACAACTGAAAGTGCCTATAAAACGATGAGCCTGGATGACATGTTGTACCGTGCAGTTTTTACCAACATAAAACACTAAAAAAGACCACAGCAGAGCACAATTGTATGTCGAGAAAGCTGCCATACGAATAAACAGCAAAAAGTGAAATGTCTGTAATTCCCGTCGATAGTTTAAAGGGGCCTCCGAGAAACAGAAATTTCGATTGCCTTATCATGAAAGAGATGACAAACCTACCCCAACTTGATTCTTCGAAAGATCGGCTTCTTCAGCTGCTCGGGCTATCTGTTCTTGGTGCTGCTGGCCAGTACCGATCATTCCATTTTCAAAATATCGCTTAAGTATATTTCTCTGAACGTCCGTTAAGAGGGTATATCTTTGTGCACGCGGTTTTACGACTTTGCTTGCCATGATAACGTCGGTCCACAGTGCAACACTTCATTCCGCCATGATGATTTTCTTTCGCCTCATTCTAATCTAAACGATGATTGGTCAGAATCAGGATAATAGGAGCCTTTGTCATGTTAGCTGGCACGGATGATCATCTTACCTGGCTATCACCCGTAATTCTAAATTTAGAAAATATGGGTTTGACCCATTTAGAATCCGAGATACGGGTGAGTAAAACAGCACAGTAAAACTTGCAGGCGATGCCATCAATCTGAATGGAATATTAAAAAGAAGGAGCATGAAACTGATTAGCAAGGACTAGTGAAAACAAACGAGCGAAAAATGTTATTTTATTTTACGAGGCACTCGGCCTCATTATTTTTCAGGTAATATTCAATTTACATTACTGAGTTCCTGACAACAAGGGGACGTGTATGTTTAAAATGTGTGTGCTCAAAAAAGAGCCATGTCTGGTGAAATATGATAATTTATCGATCGTCTTACTCAGCCGGTCAGTTTTTTCGAGGGGGCTATGGTCCTTGAAATATGACTTTTTACAGCACAATAAAAAGACTTCAGACGATCCAGTATATTGAGTTATTAAAACGAATTTTAAAAAAGAAAAACAGACTTTCTACATTTACTTCAGTTTTCCGAAGAGCATTAAAATAATTTTGGATCTTTTTTTCAGAAACACGAATGAAATTCAAGTCATGATGGCAAGTCATATGAATGAATAAAATATGAAGGACCCCTAAGATATTACGTCATTTTCTGTTGAAGTAAGTTCTTGTTTTTGCTTGCCCTTGAATAAACAATTTATTCAAATTTGGGACTTTAATGCGGTTGTTTCTTTTATACTAAAAAACGGAAATATTTCGATTTTCCAATTTATCCTACAGAAAACTTGTGCCTCTCCAGGTGTCCCAATCAACATCACTGTTCAAGGAAAAGGAGGTGAAAAGGTGCGTATAAAGCCCATTTCACTTGAGTTACGTAGCTAATAGCAAGTGGAAGTTTCATTCATTAATGTGATATCTCCCGTTTTTAGGGAGAAAAAGGTGAAAAAGGGGACACTGGAACCAAAGGCGATAAAGGAATACCATGCCAATGTTCTTTACAGGTAACAAAAAGACAGTTTTTAAAAAGTTTGTAATTATTCATAAGTTGAAATACTATTGTACAGTGTTATGATTTTCATTTATTCATTAGTTCTGATCAGTGAACCTTCTGTCCGTTACTTAATCTGTTGCTGAGTTCAGGTTGCAAGAAGTCTATCCGCAATTTCATGGCGTGTTTCGTTTCAATTAGGCACGTGTCAAATTGCATTTGTCCGTCTTCAAGCTGAAGTCTTAATATTAAATAAGACTCTCAATTACTGCTAACAGCTAAAATTTTTAATCTTTGGTCCAGTTCTCTTGATTCTTAGGTTTCAGCCAAAACCTTAAACGTTTTTTCTTCTTATCGGTTCAGCAATCAGCTTTTACTAATGTTTTTTTTTCATCCTAAGTATAAATTGCATCATCAGTGTATATTCTTTTTTCTGTTTTAGAATCCAAAAAAGCCATCTGCTCATATCGAATCCGTCAATAAGGGGACAGTCTGGTACCCAGCCAACACAGGTAATTTGTTCGTTCAGGTGTTTTTTTATTTTCGGCAAATAACCACGATAATTTAAAAAGGCCAAGGCAGGAAAATATCCCGGACTTATTTCGGGCTATACTTTGGAGAAAAACTTGTTTTGTAGTCACCTAGGCCGGTTGGTTTAAAGCAGTATTACTCACCACTCCTCCAAAAAGCAAAAAAAAAAAAAAAAAAAAAAAAGAGAAGAAGAAGCCAAGGTGTTTTGGGGGAGGGTTGAGATCCATCCACCCCTCTGTTAGGCTAGGACGGTGGGTTGATGGTTAAGGGTATGACCTTATAAATTAGTTGCGTAGTTACATTACAAACTGACTGAAATGATTCCTGGGTTCAAACCTTTCACAGTTTGACTGAAATGTGTTCATAATTTGTTTCGTAGTGATCAAGGATTGGTCGGTCAGTGCTCCGTACAGCTATCTTGCAGGTGGTATGACGTACCAAGACGGAAAACTGAAAGTTCCTACCCCAGGACGGTACTACATCTACGCTCAAATTTACTACCACAACAGTGTACGAGTCTTTGTTGAGGTGAACAACAAACGAATCACGATGATGCAGCCGCCAACAAGTGGTCAAGAGGCAGGTAGCTTGTACACTGGTGGGGTGTTCAACCTGGAGACTGGTGACGTCATCGCGTTGACTTCTTACAATTATCCTCATAGAAATGGCGCCAAAATTTACATGGACACCCATCACAGTTACTTTGGCGCATTTTTGATCTGAGCTTTTTTTTTGTTACTTGAAGTTAAATAAGCATTGCCATCGAGGGGCAAATACAACATCGCCTGATAAATTAAGGGATGTAAGTTTGAAAACGCTACCTCACTTCTAATTCAGAGTGACACGTTTTGTAGGAGACATTCTAGATTGTGGTCTCATCGTTAGTACCGCTAGGTACATTACTGTTATTAACTAAACAGGTTTGATGTTGAAATAAACGCAGATAAGGACATATATTTGCTGTTCACTGACTAAATTTTTTCACATTTTTAAAGGTTTAAAAACACGGGCATGTTGTAATTTTCGGATAACTTTCCACTGACAGTAGAGGAAAGTGGAGGCCAATAAGGCTTATGAAAAGAACAAAAGGCGACTGATATTTCAAAATTTAGCTTTACATTAATACTCCTGTTAGCAACAAGCACTTTGCCCTGTGTGTTCACTAGTTGGTTTTGACGGACCCCGAACAGGCATGATTGGCAAAACGATTCGCTGAAAAAAGCACGATTAAAAGCATGATTGGCAAAACGATTCGCTGAAAAAAGCACGATTAAAATAAGCAGTCACAGCAATTTGGTTACCCCTGTACCCCTGAACCAAGGGAGCTACTACACAATTATGTTTTTTCCACGAGGGACAGTAATTTCTACAAACAGTGGTACAGTAATGTCAAGATCGGAAAAGGTGCAATCAGGGCGACTTCTAAATCCAAGATTGTTTCGTAAATAAAGGCCAACACTGCTACAAACGTTCGAAATTCCAGGGTTGAAGAAGGTACATCCTAAAATATTGAGTAAGCAGTGTTTTTAGACTTTTTAATATTTAGTCAGGCTTTTGAAATTCCAACAACAGAAAGAGGATTATGACATAAGATTCAGATAACTTTCTAATGTCTGAATATGGAATTACAAGAGTCATCTAAACTGATCATGAAGCAAAGGAACAGTATTTCGGCATTTGGTTGGTTTGTACTAGCCTCCCCGCAGACGTCCTTTGGGGTTCGTTTGTCACGCATTCATTTCTCCCCCACGGACCGTCCGTGGGGGAGAAATGAATGCGTGACAAACGAACCCCAAAGGACGTCTGCGGGGAGGCTAGGTTTGTACTAGCAAACGTGTTTGTCGTACAACGATATTTTCGCCATGTGACCAAAGTAACGAGGCATCTTCTATAACGGAAGAAAAGGTTCTCCCGTACAATGAGCCGATTACATCACAATAGCGCCGGCATCGGTAATGAATCTCAATAGCAATTCAGTCTCAATTGAATTTCAGTTCAATAGCAATTCATAAAACGATAGAAATCATCTTGAAGCTTAGGGATGAAATATACGGTTCTTAATTTTGTTGAGACTTTGGATTGTACAGGATTAAAATTAAGTTTTCATTGAATTTTCACAGTTTATTGAGAGTAAATTTTCTTTAAATTGAAACTGAAACGAGATTGCCATGGAACTGACTTGAATGCTAATGAATTGAAATTGAATAGACAATGATTTCCAGCATTATATAATGTACATGTTACATTTGGCATCTAAACGGCTACTTTAGTTCTAGTACGTTCTTGACGTCCTTGAGTGTTTTACTGGGTAAAGTTCTAATTTAGGATCCAAAGAAGCCGTCCGCCTATATGGAAGCTATTCGATTTGTTACCCATCAAGCACAGGTACTTCAAGTTCACCGCAATTCGGCGAAGTTTGCATTTAATTTTGTTAAACCCCAAAACTTGAAAGAAACACTGTATCGACAAGAGTTACCCTCTTTTAAAAACGCAGGAAAGAGGAAAAACGAAAAAAAGAATTATATTTGAAGTAAATGAATGTTGTCACGCAATCTCATTAATCTCTGAAAATCGCTACTTTGCTTCGTAGTGACCAAGAACTCCTTCCTACCAAGGACTTAGGGGGTATTAGAATATCGTGGTGGTATTAAGTAAACGCATAAGTATATTTCCAAAATTGTCAAGAAAGATGACGTTGATCTCTAAAATAACGTATGTTGATACCTTGCTTTGTAGTGATCAAGGACTGATCGGTCAGTGCTCCGTACAGTCATCTTGAACCAAAAACGAGAAGTCTATAGACTACTGCAAAGCTGATTCAAAACAACTTTTATTGTTTTTTTTTTTCATAACAATATTTCGGCTAGCCATTCCAGCCTTCTTCAGGTTTACAGATGTTACTGAGGTTATGTAGGAATCACAATATTATATAGACGGAGAATGTCGCGATAAAAATTGTTTAACCCATTCGCCCCTGAAGATTTTGCCGAAAAACACGTTTTGAAGCTAGTCGAGTGGTTTTCTGGTCACTGTCGTGCTATTAAGAGCTAAAACTTACCACAAAGCCGTTTACAGGTCGTATACTTCACGGCCTTCTGATCCAGATGCAAAGCATCAGCTTGCGAAGTTCAGGCATGCCCTGAAAGCAAAATTTCGAGGTTTAAAAGTGACACAGCGGTCTTGACTTTTACTTTTCGCTTTTTCTCCTCCCCTCTTTTTTCGCTTTTGTTGCCTTCTTTTTTTTTCTCTTGCTGGGCATTTAGTAGGCTTCATTTTGGTGGGAAAAGTTTTTAGGAAAGCTTTTAGGA